ATATATATATATATATAGAAGAGGGTTCAAATGATACTGATATAACTTTTACTAAGGATTATACCATTCAATAACTTTATATTAAATGTAAATTTTATAAATTCAACTGTTAGATTGAAAGTTCACATCACTTTATATGTATAAATCAAATTTTGTTAAAATTGAACAACTTGAAAATAATCAATGATCTTATAAAATGTAAGATTTTTAATAAATATAAAAAATTATTAAAATGTCCCTTAAATAAAATATTTAATTATGGATAAATTTTTAATTTTACTTTGATTTTTTGGTTCGTCCATGGAGTATCCAGGGCTGATAGCAATGACTAATCTCCTTGCTACATTGGAGACACTCAAAAGGTGGAATAACTGGTCTCAAGATTTCGAATCCCTGACCTTACTTAAGCGTGGATCAACCCCTACTGCTACTGAACCACACGCTTGAGATTTAATTTTACTTTGATTAAATATCATATTAACATTTTATTTAATTAGTTTCACTACGTGAAATATTAAATTCCTTAAATGTTATGGTAACTTATTACAAAATATAAATAATTTTTTAATATTATATTAATTACGTAAAAAGGAATTAATGTATCAAATTTTTAAAAAAGTTAAATGAAATGAATTGTGTATTTTATAAAAGTAAATCAGTTAATTAATCTATTTTTTTTATAAAATAAATTAATTCAAATTTTTAAAAGTAAGGATAATTTTTTTTAAAACTGCATCAATTTGGTATGGTGCAATAATATATTTTATATCCGTATATGAATCAAATTTTAAAAAAAATAAACCAAACTAAATTGACTGGCTTTATGAAAATAAATCGGATAACTAAATTAATTTTACAAAATAAATTGATTCAGGTTTATTTTAAAATAAATCAAAATTTTTAATATAAATCATATGGGTTATGAACCGATGATCTATTTAAATTTTGTATCCACCTGGAGCTACGCAAGTGGACAAATTTACATACATCATGTTGATGTGCATAACGGCATTGGACTGGAAAATAAACCACACTCGCCGCTTACAGTTGGAGAAAGGAAAGTGAAGACCAACTTCCTAAATACCACATCCCTTCATTCATTTAATTGGGACTCGTAGGAGAGTTCAACTTCTTATGCTGACCGTCGCCAATCGTTGATAGTTTTTAACTTTTTCCCCCCAATTTCTTTGATTCAATTTTACCTAATTTCCTTTTTAATTATATCAGTGTCAAATACAATTACCAAATCAATTCACTTTTACAATTTTCTTTTTTAATTCACTTGATGGATAAATATAACTGAACACTACTACACAATTACCAAAAGAATTCACTAAAAAGGGCAAGAAAAAAGTGAAAATAAAAGTAATAACCAATTAACATCTTTTCAGAAACTTATATCTAATTAAATAGAATTTTCATTCATTGTCTTCACCTCATCTACCATACAGAATTTTCAACAACATGCATCATTTGTTATATTTCCAAGACTTTGAATTTCTTCCTCTAGAAGTAAGATGTTTGTCACCATAAGCCATGTGTCCTGTCTATGAAGCAACTCATACATTATTATCCCTTTGGATCTCCTCGTTACCAAGGAAAGCAAAAATTGTCATACTTTTCAAACAAAGAAAGGGCATTTCCATAATTTTGTATCCTAGACAGGCCCTATAAATATGCATGTACCTCTAGCTAGTGCTAAAATCAAGTGCAATTAGAAAGAAGTAGGATAATGGCAAAGGTTTCTCTGTTTGTGGTGTGTGTGGTTTGTATTCTAGCAGTGGCCTCTGCTCAGAGTGCGACCAATGTGAGAGCTACATATCACTTGTACCAACCTGAGCAGCATAACTGGGACTTACTGGCAGTGAGTGCATATTGCGCCACTTGGGATGCTAACAAGTCCTTAGCATGGCGCAGCAAATACGGTTGGACAGCTTTTTGTGGACCCTCTGGACCTCAGGGCCAACAAGCTTGTGGCAAATGCTTGAGGGTACGTGTTATTATTAACTCCTTTATTTCTAAATAAATATGATGGATAGATTTTAATTAATTTTTGGTTGATGGAAATGAGTAATTTTTGATGGGGGTACCTGTTGCAGGTGACAAACACTCGAACAAACGCACAACAAACGGTGAGAATAGTTGATCAGTGCAGCAACGGGGGGTTGGATTTGGATATTACTCCGTTCCAAAAGCTGGATACCGATGGGAACGGGAATGCTCAAGGCCATCTAATTGTCAACTATGACTTTGTAGACTGTGGTGACTAAGTAGTTCCATTAGTTTCTGGCTACTACTTATACTACAATAACCTTTTCCATGCTTTTTCTCTACTCATGTCATAAATGGAATTGAATAAACAAAGCCATACAAGTGCTTTATTACTCGATAACAACAAATAAATAAAGGGATGTCATTAAGTTGCTCTGGATTTGAAAGGAGCAATGAATAGTATTATCATGTAATAGCTGAAATGGGTGTCCCTTTGTTTCTTTTTGTTGCGTGCCTCAAACTGCCACTTTATACCATGTTTCTTTCGAAAATTGTCATTACATGTTGTGTGGAGATTCATCGGGATTACACGGATATTCAGTGATGTGACGTGAAAGATAAAAAAACTTGGCAAATGTGATTACATATGTTAGTGGTTTATCAACTTTCTATTCTTTCCCAAAGCAAGAGAAAAATAAAAAACTTGCCAACGTCGGGTAAGAAAGACCTGAAATAAATTCAAAGATGCACAACTGGAATTTGGCATATAATTTTGTGTGGTGAGGGCTTTCCGTGTATAGGATATAGGATATGCGTGACATAGGATATTGTAGTTAAATTTAGCAGATAATATTGTGTCATGTATTTTTAGCTCTTATTTCGAGTGAATACAAATGTTATTTCAGCGGTTATTTGATAGTTTAAGAGTTTGATATTACAAGTGTTTAAAATTTCTTTAGAATAAGATGATTATTGATCCAAGGGACACTCGAACTAGAGTAGTTCACTAGTTCCTCGGTCTCTAACGACGGCTTAGCGTGGCTGAGTATGATAGATGAAGTGATAGCACCAATAGAGACTCTTAATAGTCAAAGTCATTTGAGATTTTGTAAAATAAGTAATAACAGTACGTATATTAGATCAAGAAGATACCCGCAAATAGGGCTTAAGGTTATTTTTGAGCTTTGACATGTTTGAGTTTAAGAAATTTCACTCCAAGTATTTTAAGGATAAAGTTTAGGTTATATATATATATATATTAAAGAAGTTCAGGTTATACTTTGTATTGTCTCAAATCAGACTACTGTTGCATATTCTTTTAAAAAGTATCAATCTTTTAAATATGTATTAGTAATACAACTTCGACATATATCTCAGTGGATTATCTGGACATGTCCAGTAATCTCGTATAAAGATCTCAATCTTCTGGGAAAAATCCAATGCAAGCGACGACTCTGGTTATTAGGAATCAGAATGTTTCCAGCGTTGTGTATCAATAAAACAGAAATGGCGTATCTAAATAGAACTCTACAGACATACCCAGTGCTCATAATCTGGAAAAAGATCGTATCTTAAAAATAATGACAAAGCTAGAGATGCATATATTTACTTGGAAACAGAGGTGCCGAACATTTTAAATTATTTTTTTTCAACAAAAATGTTTTTTAGAAGAAAAAAAAACTAACCTCGTCTTATTTCATTTTTGTCTAAATTTAATTTCAATATTTTTAAATTAACTATTAAAATCTTATATTATAAATCTAAAATATAATTTATACAATTAAAAATATTTATTTATTAATATAGATTATATATTCAGAAGTGTTTGTGATACTTATATAAAATAAGATTTTATTAAAATACTAGTTTAAGTTTAAATTAGTTACATTTGTAAATAACTAAAGTTTATGTCTGATTGTTTTGGTATTGGAATAAGAAAAATCATCACATCTTTTAAAATACACAGATTTGGCTCCTCAATTTACAGAATAAAATAAAATAAAAATTATTAATTAAAAAATTAGTAATAAAATATATAAAATTTAAAATTAAGTATAATATCAATCGTTAATTTTTTAATTGACAATTATTATTATACTTTATTCTAAATTAAATCTTCTCACTTTGAAGGAACCAAACCCAAAATACATGTATCTTTAAAAACACATCTTAAACCTTTTTTAATCATAAAATGACAAATAAAAGATAACACTTTCATAATTAAACAAGAAGTGAATAACATGTTAAGAACTCTCATATTAAATATCACTATAAATATACTCATAAAAGAAATTTCACTTCTAGCATCAAAATATTTCTTTAATTAGATATACCCACTAGAGTAAGATTTTAATGAAAGCAAAAGACCTCCTTTATACAAATAAAATCAAATTTTCTGAATTTTAAAACAAACGAACCCTACAACAGTATGGGAGGAATACCCATGAAATCATTCACACATAATCACCAAAAATAAAACTAGTGATAGAACTTTGAACCCATGCAATTGCCATTTTATAATTTACTAATTCTGCAAATAAGCATAACCTTTCTAATTACTATAAATCTTCCTGTACGACTATCTCTCGAAAGAAAACATCCGCACGCGCACACAAAATTGTGGGAAAAAAATGTATTAAGTGAACAAGGCAGCACCATCCACAATGCTTGGATATCTTCTCTCTGAAACATGGTGTTAGCAACTATGTTTTGTTTTCACTTTTCAGCTGTGCCATGAAATTTCCTCCCAGCCTCGACAGCTTCCCTGTAAAGATGATGCACAATGAGCTACACAGTACACAGCATATTGAAGACTTCTATGTGCTAGCGTGACGATATGAATTGCATCTATGAAACATAATTCACTTCCAACTCGAGTAGCAATCACATCTAATGAGCGAGGATGCTTTATAATTAGGTCATACTTTTCTTTTGTTCCAATTTTATTTTGACAGACAGCACTACTAGTAACATGGCCTTCATCCTCATCTGGTGATTTTAATGTTTTTTAAACACTCAAAGTCATCACACACTAGCGCTCTCCAATGCAGTGCTCCACATGTGTATGAAGCATGTTTTTGTAAATTAGGTATGCCTCAAACCATGAAACAAAAAGTTCATAGGAATATCATCCCAAATCTTGGTGATCATATTAATTCCTAGTTAATAGTGCAATGTCTATATGCCAAGAAGTGATGATAAAGAAAATAATACGCAGACCTGAAAGCATTTACAAGCTCCTTATTTTCAGGATCAAGCTTTACTCCCTCATAAAAAGCATTTGCAGCTTCATCAAATTTCTGCAATAAGGATAATCAATCATAGTTTTAGAAACGCTAATCACATGAACTGCTGCTAATGTCAAGGGCAAAGTTTTCCAGGATAGCATGCCTGCAACACACGCAGAGCTGCCCCTTCCCTGTAACAAGCTTTTGGCCAATCTGGTCTTAAAGCTCTACAGGCCTTCGCATCAGCTAAAGCATGATCAGCTTGACCCAACCTAATCCAACAGAGACTTCTATTGGATAGCAAAGTAGCAGCATCAATGGGGTTCAGATCAATTGCCTGTAAACACGTTAAAGAAAAAAAAAAACAAAAAAACATCTGATAAACTGATCATAGTAAAGAATGAAGCTCATACAGTTATTTTTTCTCAAACCACACTACATAAGATAAGCATGCTCATGTCCTTAGAGACTACATAAGTTCATAGAAGGGATTATCTGAACTTGCACAAGAAAAGTACTCAGCAAATCTAAGTTACAAAAGAGACAAAATTCAAGAGTCAAATGAGAGATTAAAACACTTTACTTGTGTATAACAATCTATTGCCATATGATAGTCGTTTCTTTTAAAGGCCTCATCTCCTCTTGACTTTGCTTCTGCTGCTCTCTTTTTGGCTTCAGGGGACACCTAAATAAGTTGATAAACAAATAAAAAATTATAACAAATACAAAGATAAACTTTATACTCATTAACTGAAAGTTCAAAAATGTCCTTTTTATTATAGGGATGGACAATTAATCACAGCTTACTAACTTGGCAATGTATTAAAATCACAAATATCTACAAAGAAAGTTTATGCATGAACACATCTTGATATGATATAATGAACGACCATATAATCAACCACGAGAAGAATGATAAACAGAATCCCAAGAAGAAAGGGCCTGCTAAAACCAATTTTTTGTAAAAACAAGCCTACAACTTATTTATGGGGAATACAAATTATGCAATGGAAAACAACAAAGATAATGAAAGCATGATCTTTGAAACAATACAAAATTTGCAAATGAGATAGAGAGGCCAAGGGAGAAAATCCTTTTTGGTAGAATAAACATAATTATGAGACCTACAAATTTCTTCTACATTTAATGGTGCAGCTATTTATGTTCAATTATAAAGCTGCAACACACCCAATTAAAAACAAAAAAGTACAGCTAATACATGTTTAATAAAAGAAAAGCACACCTCAGGGACATTTTGCTCCGGAAAAGTATTGGCCTGATTAATTTCTTTAGCATTTACCATTTCATCCTGCATATTGCCCTTCATACATTAGGTTAAAAAAAAAAAAGAAGACAAGAAATCCACTTTCCCAGACAGCATGAAAACTAGCAACAGAAAGCATTAATTGTCCATTTTTTAACCATGAAAATGAGTAGAATATGATCAAAATCAGTTAAAGGATTGAGAATTTTAATAGTGGTAGAAGTATATAGAGCCCACTATTTGTTGAAAGATAGAATATTCGCTGGTCAGCTTGTGCAAAGCATATCTTCTTTTCCTTGGCAATTTAATTTAGAAAGATACAGCAAAATTCTAGAGATTGTGCTGTTTTTTTTGTAACAAAATAAATGCATTAACATATTTCCTTCTGGACAACATACAAATTTACATAGCAAATATTTGTATTTTAAAGGGAATGGTGTTTTAAGCATGATATCACAGTACCACATTCAAAAGAAAACAGTTATTTGATGTTCTTGCAGCAGAGATACGGCCCTTCTCAGTCCAGTTGGGCATAAAAGAAAAATTTATAATTTCAATACCTGTTGCTCTTTAGTTTCAGATTGCATATACTCAAGTATCCCATCAATAGTCCAAGTAGAAACAGTGTCTATTTTGGATGTCAAGGGGAACAATATCTCAACAATTCCACGGTGGCCCCTTGCAGCAGCAACCTGTACTGGCTTGACACCATCCTGTGATACAAACAGATGTTAATTTTTATTCCACATATTAATTGAAGCACATTGTTTACCACAATCATAATCACTACACACGACAAGCAAAGAGTTGGATCAAACTAAAAGTTTGAAGATCTTGAAAATATAAATAAACACGAGTACTGTTTTTGTGTTTTTAGGACTATTGAGTACTGAGATAAGTAAACTCTAAGAACTATTTATTTGGTCATTCCTACACTAACAGTATAAGAAGATAACATCGGGAATTAATCTTTCACACCTCGTCAAAGACATTAGGATCAGCTCCAGCTTTCAATAAGCAATTTATTAGTTCTAGACTTCCATTATCAGCTGCAATGTGCAAAGGAGTTGCTCCACCAGCACTTATATTTACTTTAGCACCTGCCTGCATATAAAGATTCAAATGTAAAGATACGGATGGAGCACGAGACAAAAACATACGGAAAGAAAGTAGCATCTTACAAACACAAATGCAAATGTTTAATACCACAAATACCTACAAACTAATAGACTTTTACATAAAAACACTAAACAATTGTTTAAAACCAATGTATTGCAAAAGTCTTTAGCTACATAACTTTAACATGTTGCATTATAGTACTGATAAATTCCATGCTGATAAATTAATCCTTAATCTGCATCATGTAATCTGTATATAGTACTTACTGATAAATTTTCTAGAATTTCCATGCTGGAGTATCTATATAATATCATCTGAGCACTCTACAATTCATTCCATGTTTCATAGATACAAAACAGATACATTGTATACTTAACTTGCAGTACAAGAAAGTTGACAGGTTGAGAAAGATATGGAACCTGAATTAACAGCTCTAAGCATGCCAGAGAACCAGCTGCAACAGCTGAAAGGAGTGGTGTAATACCATCTTCAGTTTCAGCATTAGGCTGCAAAGCAACATCAACAGGATGAAAAGGAATATAAAATGGTATTAATCAATAAAATATAAAATGAAAAACTAAAATTGAAATCTTATTTAAAAATGACATACATATTAAAGACCATTTGTTTTAACCATACCATACAAGGCAAATTGATGAGGCTTATGTTGATTTCACTAATTAAACCACCAAACTATTGATTGACACGGGAATTAAAAAATTACGCAACTACAGCATATTGATTATTGACATGTGGTCCAACCACTACTTCTTCATAAGTACACTGATCCAAAAAAAAAAAAGGAAGAATCTTTTTGAAACAAAAAACAGAAAAATAGATACTAAAGCCAATAAATACTCAGCATAACCAACTAAAAGGATACAAGATTCCCTTAGAAACAAGAAACTTTTGGATAAATAAAATTCCTAAAGATAAAGAAGTAAGGAACATCATTAAATCTTCCAATGAATTATACCAAGAAACAGAACCACAAAATAAAAAGACGACTTACATTAGCACCATGTTCCAATAGAACACTGACAGCAGGTGGTTGGGCATGACCAGCAGCCCAGACCAAAGGCGTTCCGGCATCACTTTCTAGATCAGGATTAACCCCCTTGGACAGCAAGTACTTGAGCAGCTCAGTATCTCCTGTAAAAAAAAATGATAAAAAGAATAGAACATAAGAAACAAGGTCACCAAACAAGAAAGAGAACCCATAAGGCAAATTTATTCATTTATTAATCATAAAAGGCAAAATAGAAAAGGAGAGGTGAAAAGTGAGAAGAGACCTATCCCTGCAGCATGGTGCAAGGCCGTAGCCCCTAAATTGCTAGCTACAGTGGGATCGGCACCATGGTCAATCAGATACTTAGCCGTTGCGGTGTGTCCCTGACGGGCAGCATGAATGAGAGCAGTCTCGCCTGAAGAGCAATAGCAAATATGAATTGAATGAAGAGAAACTTTCAACCTTACAAAACTGACTTATACTTATATATACTAAGTTTGCGGGGCTGGACATTAATGAATCACTACTCTTAAATATATATAATAATAATCTCTAATGAGAGAATAATTACAAGTATGAACAAGAGAGAGATAGAGGAATCACCATCGTCATCTCGAGAATCGACGGCGAGGTTCAAATCAACTAAGAGATACTCGCAAACAGCAGTTTGGCCTTCACGCGCGGCAAAATGCAGTGCTCCTCTCTTGTTGGCGTCCTTAATTGCTTCCACAGTTTTGGCCAAATCCTTGCCCTCGTCCAGTTGCTCCGCCAACTCTACCAAACCAAAAAGCTGAAGCTTTAGCAAACTAACACCATAGAAACACAAACGCAAACACAAAGCATGCATTACAATTTACATACTCTTTAAGAGATCGATTGCGCCTGTGCGCGCGGCGTTCAGAAACAATTGAACTTTCTTCCTCACTGCATTGACAGGGAAAGAATAAGAGAGAGCGTTAATTATAATTTAAAAGTAATGAATAATCGATTAGGGATGCGACCTGCAAGTGCGTCAGAAGCATCGGGAGCCATAGTGAAGAAGAAGAAGGAAGGGTTTGGTTTGCAATTAGTTGTTTTGAATTTGCAAAGACTAACGAAACCTTGTAGACTCACTTTGATTTTATATATAGGCCACCAGTCACAAACACGTGCTTCTCCTCTATCGTTAGGGTATCACTCCATCCATTTACCTTTCATTTCATCTCACTTTCACATTTCCATTTTTTTTATTTTTTTATTTTATAAATGTTAAATTTAGACACAATATTTTGATTTACTATATAGGAGTACAAAGCTAATAAATAATTACCAGTATTTTAATTTACACTTTGTACAATATAAATATTTTTATGCAAATAAAATTCTTTTAAAAAGTATATAAATATATAAATATTTTGAATTTATAATGAATAATTTAAATTATGATATTGTTATTTTTAATTATTGATATATTTTTAAAATGTTGAAATTTAATTTTAAAATTAAAATTAAAGATATAAATAATAATAAATCAAGTATATCAAATAATTATAGTTTGAGATGGTCGAAAGATTTTTTTTTTGGGTTATTTAATTACAAAAATAGTATAGAGAAAATAAAGAAATTGTTGAAAATGTCAATTAGAAAGAGTAAGTAGAACGAGAATTTTACTCACTTAGTTGTCTATTTTAATTTATAATGTTCATTAATTATTATTATATATGGCAATTTTAATTTTGTTAAAATATAATTAAAATATTTATTATATTGATTATTATTTTTATAAATACGTTCATTTAATAAAAAAAAGGTAGAGATAAATATTAATAGAGAATTTTTCCTCATGTATATTTCTTGATGAGTAAATATTTATTTCATTAATTTTATCATATTGAAATGTTATTTTATTGAAAATAAAGAAAGAATCTCACTAGATGATTTTGATTTAATATATTAAGATAAATATTTTAGTAAATAATAATATATTGAGTTACTAATTATTATTTTATTAATAAGTGATTTTAACTGAAGAATGTAGAGTTAAAGAAAAGAGAGTTTTTTCCCAATTTATATTTCTTGATATGAGTATATATATATATATATATATATAATATTATACTATCTATGTTTTTTATTTAACAAATAAGGTTAAGTATTTAAATAGATTATAATTTTTTTTATATTGTATTGACCTTTAATTTATATTAAACACCTCTAGCTATATTGAATGAATATTTTTATGAATTTTTCTGGGATTTTTTAAAGATTCATTTATTTATTTAACTAGTTTGATTTTTATTTATTTATAAAATAAATCTTAATATTTTTAAAATAATATTTAAAAATATTATTGTATGATAATATAAAATATTTAATATAAATTTAAAATATAATTTATATGTTTTAAAATATCTATTTATATATTTTTAAATATAATTTATATATTTATAATTTATTATAAATTTTAGTTATATATAATAAATATTTACCGTTCAGTTAAAATTCTAGTTCATTATTATTTTTACTAATAGATGCCATTTTAATTAAAAAGGTATAGATAAAGAAATTAAAAAAGATTATTTTCAACTTATATTTCTTGAATAAAAATAATATGTACTTTCCTAATTATTAATCTTTTGAAATATCCTTTTTTTTATTAAATGTATAATTATCTTTTATTAATGTACAATTATTGCAAAGTAAATAGATTCAATTATCTTTTATCAATATCAATTTGACAAAAGATAGACCAAAAATGTACAATATTCAAATATTAAAGGGATCAAATTCATTAAAAAAAAATGAGAAAGCCAAATTGATAGGAAAAAAAAATGTTTTTGCTTTACTGAAAAAATAATAATTGTTAATTAGGTGTTTATATATATTGAGGATATTCGTGTATTGTTTCAATGTTGTCGCATATTAATGGAATAAGTGGAAGTAGGAGTGTGCAAAAAATCTAAATTGATCTGAACCAACCCATAACTGATCCGATCCGTTTTGAAAAATTCGATCCGTTTTGAAAAAAAATCCGAACCGAACCACTTTATAAAACCGATTCAGTTATTCGATCCATTTTTACAAAGTGGATCGATTTAGTTCGGTTTGGTTTTTTAAAAAAATCAATCCATATATGAGTAAAAAGTAGATAATCGCACCGCACCAAACCGATCCATTTTTAAAAAAACTAATCCATATAATAAAAAAACCAAACCGATCCACTTTATAAAAAATGGATCGGTTAACTGATCCACTTTTATAAAACGGTTTGGTTTAGTTCGGTTCGAATTTTTCAAAAAACCGATCGATAAACACCCTAAGCGGAAGCTGTCTCGTAATGTTTCAATGTTGTCGCATATTGAAAGAATAATTGGATCGTATATACATATCATTTAAATTAAATTTGAAATTTACGTACAAATTAAATACTTTATTTGAATCATGGTAAAGAAATACATATTCCTATGGTGTGGTATTTACCGGTGGCTCAAAATTGTTTACATGAATAGATACTCAGAGAGACGATCAGTATTCCACATATACACATAACAAAAAAGTTAACGGAAAAATGGGGTAATTGACTAGACCATAATTTCCTAATCAAATCTTCAAATCGGAGCCAGCTCTAAAAAAAACCCCAAGAGGAAAGCTGCACAGTTTTTTTCTTTTTTTCTCTCTCTCAATTTTTTCTCCTCCGTGCATATATCTAGAACATCTCTCTCCTTCTGTACAAGACATGATATTCCACACTTCAATGAGACTGCATAACAGAACATGCTACAGCCTGAGCCCAGTGCCTCAACTTGGTCTTTACATGTTCAGGGTCGTCCCCTGCATATTGCATCAATAACAACAAATGAGAAACCATGCATGCATGCATGCATCAATATATTTACGTGCAATGCAAACATGCAATGAATGAACGAGAAACCTGGGTGGCATGCATGCATGCATGAATATTTACGTAGAATGCAAATATGCAATGAATGAATGAGAAACCTGGGTTACAAATCTTCCAAGAATCAGAGTCAGGCGGTGGTAGCGGTGCATTGACAGGGCTGCCAAAGGAGGAAGAGTGGCGGCTGTGAGGGGTGGAGACCGGACTCGGCGAGAGCTGGCGGTTGACGGCGAAGTAGAGGTCGAGAGCCGGCAAGGTGTTGCACAGTTTCTGGCCATCTTCCTCGTTGAAACCAAACCCTAATTCTATGCATCCTTTAAGCTCGTGAAGATCATCGTCGGTGATGCCATCGCAAATGTGAAAGCTGTTCCTCCTAGCCCTCGTCTTATTGTTACACCTGCTTCCTCTCTCTTGCCTCCTTCTTCTCTCCCACGCAATGTCTCGTGGCGCTTCATTACACATCGACAACTGCTTCGACAACCGCTTCCTTTTCTTCAAATCCGCTCCTGAGAATGCCACATTCTTTAGTTCTGTTTCTACCTGCAAGAATCGTGCTCGCTCTACTTCCCCCATATATATTTATTTACACCTCTCTATATATTTATAGTCAATGATACCCAAAATGGTATTTAATTAAAGAAAATTTATGAAATGTATGTGCGTCTGGTGGTTAACGGCGGAGGCAGCCAAGATAGACCGGCTGCCTGCCTCGCCGAGAAGGGTTGATTAGTGTGGGACAATGGAGTAGTGTGTGTTGGGAACGATGATGAATTAAGTGGAAATAATAATGGAGGAGGGACCTAAATAGGAACTATTAATGGGGTTTTCAATTTCCTCATTCTTCTTCAACCATCCATTTGTAACTGTCGCCACAGTTAATTATAGGAATAGGAATATTTAGTAGATTCTACCTACATTAATTTGGGTCAAAGCTTCCTTATGTTATCAATCAGAATATATATATATTTGATTATGTTGAACCCTTGTTCCCAAATTGCTTCCTTCCACTAATAGCATTATTCAAAACTTATTCGTGGCCTTACTAGAGGACCGGTCAAACATATTTGATGCCTAAGTAAATTTTTAAGACAGTTTTTTTCTTAAAATGAAAAATGTACATGTCGAATTCTTTTTTTTTTTTTTTTTTTTTTTTTATTTTTTTTTTTTTTTTTTTATTTTTTTTTTTTTTTTTTTATTTTTTTTTTTTTTTTTTTATTTTTTTTTTTTTTTTTTTATTTTTTTTTTTTTTTTTTTATTTTTTTTTTTTTTTTTTTATTTTTTTTTTTTTTTTTTTATTTTTTTTTTTTTTTTTTTATTTTTTTTTTTTTTTTTTTATTTTTTTTTTTTTTTTTTTATTTTTTTTTTTTTTTTTTTATTTTTTTTTTTTTTTTTTTTTTTTTTGCAAATATGAGTACAACTTTTTAAACACACATATTATATATGTATATATAATATAGTTTTTTTTTTCACTTTCTAATACCTAATAACAAATATTTTTTTAGCTATAGTGCACCTAAAACTTAAGTTTTAATAGTCTTACAAACATGAGAACAATTTTTTAAAACATATTTTTTTGTTTATACTTAAAACTGATTAGAAAACATTTTGTAGAACTATACAGTTTATACATGATGTACCAAAAAGAATGGTAATAAGCAGAAAATAATAAGACACGAATAACCCTATGATTCCTGGGGGAATACTTGATATTTTAGACGCGAAGCAGAGCTTTTTTAGCAGTTACGGTGAACTCGAAGAGATTATATATGTCGTATACTTGCATACGGTATTTGTGTCTCTTAGCTAGGTGATATACGAGTTGCAAGTTGGCAACACATGCTTGCATGTCTCATTCAGTGTGTGTAACGACTAACGACAAACTGTGAACAAAAGCTAGTATTCCACAAATTCTAGGGGAATATCGAATACTAAATATAGCTCTTCAAATTGAAGCCACGCTGTAACCAGTGCATTCATTCAATTACGATTCTCGCTCCCAACCTCCCATTCTCAGGTACGAAAACGGGAAAAAAAAATGTTCCCAAGTGGCTAGAATACAAGAAAGGTAGAAATTAACTTCATCTCCTTCTTCTCGCCTGGTTTGGTACCTCCAACCCAGGTGAGTCTTTGTTTGCTTGAATCTCCGAGGGTGATTAGAATGGCTTGACCTTAACCTATCACCCCATCACAAGATCAAGCACAAAGAAAAATCCAGAAGCCACTTTAATCCTTTTGGCGTACAGGAAAACGTTCTCCATCTTGTCTTGTGAGTTATATTAATTTTTGGTGATAAAATATAACCACCCATTATAATCGTTTTCCTGTACGGCCAAACGTGTTTCTAATCATGCATTGCAGTGCAAAAGGTCTCTTGGTTTCTCTTGTTTGCATCTTTGTTGGGTTGAATGGCATTCATGCTGATGAGGGGGCAGGGTTGATTTTGGGTTGTGGGTTGGATGAAGGAGGTGGCGTAGATGATGATGGAAGAGAATGGAGTCCTGATGATAAGTTTCTTCAGACAAAAGCTAACACAGTCACATCCAAAGCTTCCTACCAAGAACCTTCTCTCACGTCTGTGACACCATACATGTCAGCACGAATTTTCATGTCTGAGACAGCATATAAATTCCCCGTTCAACCAAATAAGCGATACTGGCTCAGGCTCCATTTTTATCCCTCTCTTTATGGCAGTTTCGATACCTCTGATTCATATTTCTCCGTGACTGCAAACGGGGTTACCCTCCTCAACAATTTCAGCTCCGCAATCACTTGTGAGGCTCTCTCACAAGCTTACATTGATAGAGAATACTCCCTTGCACCTTTGAATTCAGATACATTGATTCTCAATTTCAAACCTTCTGATAAATACCAAGGGGCTTTTGCTTATGTCAATGGCATTCAGCTGATCCAAATGCCCGACTTGTTTGATTCTGGAGTGTTGGTAGGGTATGATGACCAAACAATAGACATCAAGAGCTTGAATTTGCAAACCATGTTCAGACTAAACGTTGGTGGACAGTACATATCTCCAACCAAAGACTCTGGCCTTACAAGGGTGTGGTATGATGACACACCTTACCTTTACGGTGGAGGCACTGGTGTGACCAACGAAGTTGAAACGTCTGTCGCAATCGACTACCAGACCATGCCAAAGTACATTGCTCCTTTTGATGTCTACTCCACTTCAAGATCAATGGGGAATGAAAAGGATGTCAACATGGGGTACAATCTCACGTGGGTTTTCCAAGTTGATCCCAATTCAATGTACCTTGCAAGGTTGCATTTCTGTGATTACTATTACTCCAGGGTCAATGAGATTGTTTTCAACATCTATCTGAACAACCAAACGGCACAGGCTCAAGCTGATGTGATTGGGTGGACAGGAGGTAAAGGAGTGACAACTTATAAGGACTATGTGATATTTGTCCCAGATGGAGAGGGTGATGAACAACTTTGGCTTGCTCTTCACCCTGCACCAGACTCAAAGCCTGAGTACTATGATGCCATGCTCAACGGAGTGGAGATATTCAAGATCAATGAGACAGACTTGTCTGGTCCCAATCCTGAGCTTTCGGATATGCTACTCAGGCAGCATGAATTGGATGAAGAGGATTTCGGTTACCACAGATCATATCATAGGCATGCTGTTATTGGTGGAGCTGCTGGAGGTGCCGCTGGTTTTGCTTTTATGGCTGTACTATGTGTTGCTGCTTACAACAAGAAGAAGAGAGTTCCAAGATCTGATGGTCACACAAGCTGGCTCCCCGTCTACTTGAACAATCACTTCAGCAAATCCAGCTCCTCTACGAAGAGCATTAGCAATGCCAACTTGTCTGCCATGGCTCAAGGTCTTTGCCGCTATTTCTCCTTGCACGACATAAAACATGCAACCAAGAACTTTGATGAGTCCAACGTCATTGGGGTTGGTGGATTTGGAAAGGTGTACAAGGGTGTCATTGATAATGGACTGAAGGTGGCAATTAAGAGGTCAAACCCGCAGTCAGAACAAGGAGTTAATGAGTTCCAGACAGAAATAGAGATGCTTTCCAAGCTGAGACACAAGCATCTGGTGTCCTTGATTGGGTTCTGCGAGGAAAATAATGAGATGTGCTTGGTTTATGACTACATGGCTCTTGGCACAATGAGGGAGCATCTTTACAAGGGCAACAAGCCTTTGTCTACTCTATCATGGAAGCAAAGGTTGGAAATTTGCATTGGAGCTGCAAGAGGGCTTCACTACCTTCACACGGGGGCCAAGTACACCATCATTCATAGAGATGTCAAAACAACAAACATTCTCTTGGATGAAAACTGGAGTGCCAAGGTTTCTGATTTTGGCTTGTCAAAAACGGGGCCAAATGTGAACAGTGATGGTCATGTTAGTACTGTGGTGAAGGGTAGTTTTGGCTACTTGGATCCTGAATACTTCAGGAGGCAACAGTTGACTGAAAAATCGGATGTCTACTCATTTGGGGTAGTTCTGTTTGAAGCCCTGTGTGCCAGGCCTGTTCTCAATCCTAGCCTTCCAAAGGATCAAGTTAGTCTTGCAGAATGGGCATTGATTTGCAAGCAGAAAGGAAATATAGAGGATATCATTGATCCGTGTCTCAAAGGAAAGATTAATCCAGAAAGCTTGAAAAAGTTTGTAGACACCGCGGAGAAGTGCTTGTCTGATCATGGTGTTGATCGTCCCTCCATGAATGATCTCTTGTGGAATCTTGAATTTGCTCTCAACCTGCAAGAAAATTTTGAAGGTGGTTCAACTCGTTCTGCTCGTATTGAGGAACCTGAGTTTGAAGAAGTAAACTTGGGAGACAAGGACATAACAGCAAGCCATTATAAAAACCTGAGCCTCGGAAGTGAGAATGAGATTAGGGACGATTCCATTGAGAAACCGGCTGCCATCTTCTCAGAACTCGTGCTTCAAAAAGGACGATGAAGAGAAGTGCTCTGAATACATTGTTGTTTTGCTGTATTCGAGCATTCATGGAATTCAAGCAAATAAAACCGTTTAGTTTGCCTTGTTTTCAAAGTATTTCTTGGGTTTCTTATTTTTTAACCTTTCCCTAACACGACTTTTTTTTTTACTTAATGAAACTTCTTTTTTATTTTATACCCTCTCTCTATCAGTTATATAGACCGCACTTGGATTACTTGTTGCTTGTCGAACATTATCGAGAAATTGATTCTTACTCGTATTGTGCAAAAAGCATCACCGTTTTATGTTTTTGCTAGACTAATTTCTAGTTGATTTATAATGCGTGCGAAAACCCTGGCTAAAAAGCATTACTTCTTAAATTTGAAGGCAAAAGTTGCAAGTGATATACTTTCTATAGATTCAAATTTTTGTTTTCTTTAACCTGAAATTTGAAAAGAAAAATATTTGTAACGGATATCATGAGAAAGAGGATTTGTTGTCATTTGAAGGACAAATTTATTCATTCCAGGAAAAGAATAATGCCACAATCTCTTTCTTCAGAAGAGATGCCTATATTACAATTGTATGACGTCTCATGATCATGTGGCTGTCGAAGGGAGATAAGGCCCCTCTTTCCTCAAAGAAGTTCGAGCTTCAAGCTATATCTTCCATTGAGACCCGGTGAAGCTTTCAGGGGGATTTCCTTTGCACTGCATATGGAATGAATTTCCTGTTACTAGATGAAAGACTTCAAGAGCACCATGGACTACTTGGCAAGTTCGTATGCTTGGCCTTCATTCATCTTTTCTTCTGACCCCAAACCAGGGAATTGTCCAATATCATGGCCTTCTAGTGGTTGAAACTCGTGATTTAAACCAACAGCAAACTCTCCAGAGTCAGTTACGGGACTTTGGAAATAGTCTGCGATCTGTGTCAAAAATGTCCAACAACACAATTTTGAATGAAAAAAAAAACTATTTTTAAAGCACTTCACAATAGAGTAAAACTGAATTACTTATTGACAATGTTCACTAAAGACCAGTTTGGATAAATTTATCTAGAAACACTTATAGGAGAGAAAAATAAGAAGAAAAATCAAAATAAATTTCTTCAAAAGTTAAACATGAGTTAAAAATAAGATTTTAGGTAAACTAATAAGAGAGTACTTTTACAAATTAGCTTATGCATAAGTTAATTTTAACTTATGGAGAAACTTCATTTTTCCTTCCTATTTTTTCTCTCTTAGAAATGCTTTGAGAGAAGTTTACCAAAACAAACCTTAAGCATATGAAAAAAATTTGTGGAAGACAAAATAACAATAATTGACGAGTCAAAGTGAAAGTGGCATACATGGTTTGCTAGAGCGATTCCACTTAAGACAGCTGCCTCTATATTAGAACCCAGAAGCCAATCACCACATATCCCAGCCCTTCCAAAAGGATCAAAGATACAAGGAACTCCAGGTGTATTGGTTGGAAGAGCTGCACCCCTGCAAATCTCAGAATAACATAAATTTTAATGAATTAAGTTTACATGCAATGTTCAAGAGTAACCAATATGATATTTTAGTTCTTTTAAAATTATTAAATATTATATCCCATCTGATTTGTTGATGATTGTACTGTGCGCTGTGGCTTAGAACATCACAGAAGAAAGGCTACCGAGGGAGCAGACATAGTTAACAATTTTATTGTCAAACAACTGTATGGTCAAATGATTTCATAGTTTTTCCGTACCCCTTCCATATGGCACGATCTGCCCTACTAAAAATAGACATTGATATTCACATTTCACCTTCCAGCAAAATACCATTATCACTAGTATATATATGGCCGCACAGAAATGGTAGGGTTTGAATCTACAACAGTTGCTGAGCCTCAGCTGCTGGAAGGCCAATCCTCGAGGAGAACCCGAAGCGGAGAGAGGCAAAAACCAATGAAGCAAGCACTCTGTTCGATTACTAGAAGAGAAAGACAGGAACAAGCAATAGCAATAAATGAAATTTCTATTGCTATTGTGCAGTCCCGACTTTGTAGACTCTTACAGGGTCAGGAGCCGAAGGAATGGTGGGATATATAATATCCCGATATTCTAAACTAAAGGATGAGCGTAGTGACTGCCCTTATCATTTACGCCCTTTTTATCAACTTGATCTGTTGTTCCCTTTTACTCCTTATTAACCTAGTTATTTCATGCATAGACTACACATGCAGAATACCTAGCTTGAAAACCCATTTCCTAGTTACCAACCTGGCTACCTCCTTAGCACAAACAATAAAAAACTGTACACCTAACTAGGCCAAAACTATGGAAGGACATTTCAAAACAACAATTCTTCAATATACGATCCTTACCATAATTGAAGTCTAGTATAGAAAGGTTTTGGAAGTGACCCTTTTGATATTCCAAGGGCAGTCTCAACACCCTCTAGCATTCCTGCCTTTACTTTTGCTGCTGTAGCAGCAGGGATGTTTTCCTGATAAACAAATGATAGTTAAAAAACCCTAATTATTGTTGCAGGCAATACATGTTCATTAAAAAGTCCAATCAATACATGGCAATGCAGAGGTTATAAATAATCAAATCCCTTTAAAGTGTAATTCTAGGTAAGATAATGAATGATATATCATCATTACATTAATATTCCTCCCCCAACCCAAAAAAACATATTGAACGTTAACATTTTTAAAATTTTAACCACCAACCTGTGGAACCTTGTGCTGTTTTCCATAAGCAGCCGTGCTCAGAAAGGTCCAGCAGTGAGGACCACCACTCTGGGAAATCAGTAGTTTTTTGGTATTATTGGCCATCCATGACACTGAATCAACGCCTCTCACAAAAGCTCCTTCAAAAGGAACTTCTGTGCTACCAGGAAAAGGAAGAGGGTCCTCAAATGCTGCTAGAAGGGCCCATATTGAACTCAACTCCAACGTCTTCACACATTATTAAGCAATACAACAGAAACAATAATCAGTACGAGATGAATATGAGAGTGCCTCGGCAGTAAATCAAGCTGAAAAGAGTACTAGTCTATCACATAAAATGAACAGGGTATATCATGGACTGACCTTCATTTGTTTCGCAATTAATGGTAATCCTGATGTCATAAGCAAGCGATTTGCACATTTTCCTGTCAGTAAACAAGTTACAATAAGAAGCCAAAAACAATGGCATCGAGTTAAGATGGACATTTGGTTAAGATGGACATATCAAGTTACCATTGTGTGCAATAACAATGGCATCGAACTTGCCACGAGGCTTGCCATTTTCACTCAAGTGCCACATCCCATTGAATGGCTCCAGTTTACTGATCCAGCATGGCCTCACCACATTAACCATTTGAGTCTGCACAATTCATAACAGACAATAAAAGCAGCACAAACTGAAATTAAATTACAATCACCAATTTAAACCTTGTTTAGATAAGGTTAAAATTAACTAATGTATTAAGATAGACTCATTTTAACTTCTTGAAAAACTAATTTTGAGCTTATACATAAGCCAATTTAAAGTTAAGGAAAAAAACTTGATTCATTTTACCTTCTTAATCTCTTATCCTATACGTGTTAAGTTTTTCGAGAAGTTTATCCAAAGACCTTAATTGAACGAGTAAGCAATCTAATAGAGTAAAAACTCATTTTGGTCCTGAATTTAGAAAGTCCTGTCATATTAGTTTCTAGACCTAAAAAATTGTAAAACTATTATGTGAAAATTGACAATCACATTAGTCCAAAACTAAAAAATATGAAAAGTAATAATACTAATATATATTCAAAGACTAATATAATGGTAAATAGTTAAATTTAAGGACTTATTTTACATTCTTGTAACTAATTTTACAATTTCATAATTTCAAGGACTACTACCATAGCAGCTTCAAAATTCAGGCAGGAAAGTGAATGTGGACTCAATCCAATTAATATAAGGAGAAATGAATTACCTCAGATAGTAACGAGTCAGCAAGGAAGCGCATTCCATTGGTAGCTACATATCTCGTAGGTGAGGGTAGAAACGGAACAAAGCCACCACCATTATGAAGCTCTCCAACGGTCCCCTGCCACTCGCGCACCAAACCCTTCTCCATCCACGCGTTCACGATCTCAGCGAAGCGAGAATCCTCGACGGTAAAGAACTGAGCCGCATGATCAAATTTCAACGGCTGAGGATCGACGAGCCTGGTTCCCAATCTTCCTCCGAGACCGTGAATACCCTAAAACAACGTCGCACGAGCAGTCTTTAGCTTTGGAACACTGAAAGGGTGAAATGAGAAGTGAATTAGAGGGGGAGAAACTGACGGTGTCGAATACGGTGGAGCGAACGCCGCGCTTCTCCAAGAAGAGGGCGCAAATGAGGCCGGAGATGCCGCCGCCGATGACGGCAACGAGAGGGTCGTCGGAGAGAGGAGCGGTGAAGGTGACTTGCTCCTGGCTGAAGGATTTCTTCAGAATGGACCTTCTAGAAGTTCCGTACGACGATTTCCTGCGGGTTTTGGGGGAACTACGTTTTTGGCCTTCCATCGTCACGGTGCCACTGCCGTAGCCATTCATGTATCTTTTGCCACAGTTACACTGACACACACTCAGGGGTAACACATTCCACTTCTTCACACTCACACAAACCATGCTTTTCCAGATTCCGCTAGTAACTAACAGTCTAACACTAACGCCCCCATTTTTGTTTCAGCCTTATCTATTTATATTTTCATAATACTAACAATTCATGATTATTAAAATTGAAGAATACATTTATTTTTACGTAATATAAAAATAATTGTTATAAGCATGTGTTGTTTTTTCTCTTATTTATTAATATCTCCCTTCTTAGTTACTTCTTCTCTCTTGTTTAAGCTACGAGAATGTTTGAAAATATTTAAGCCTAAATAAGTTGTATGAAAGATTTGTAAGTGGCAATTGAAGTGTTTTTTTTTATTATTAATGTTGTTACCCGGTAAGAGGAAATTTCCTAGTGGGTTGTCGAGGAAAAACCTTGTGTTTTGGTGCTTCAACTAAAAAATCTGACCGAAATTTCTAATTTGTTTCTATTATTTATTCTGAGTTCAGTGTATTTGTTCTCGAGTTCAACATCGTAGGAGTATATATAATTTTTTGTATAATAAAAAAGGAGTATATATATAATTAACAAATCCAAGCTCAATTCTGGAAAAATCAAATCGCATAAAAATCCCTTGTTTTAACACAAGTATCATATGATCGTTATGTTTTCTCCTACCAGCAATGTCAAATCGAAGAAAACAACAAAAAATTCAAGCTCAATTCTGGAACAATCAAATCGCATAAATATCCATTGATTTAACGAGTATCACATGAACGTGATGTTTTCTCCTACTAACAACACCAAATCCAGCTCCTATTACCACCTAAAATAGAAAGACAGTGGACACGAGATTAAGCATTGATAAAATATGTTACAGACCCTACAATAAGGAATATATTTCATATAAATTTGCCTTACCAAGTCTGGAGCAATCTGAGGATATCAAATAAAATTTCGTACATACATCTTACATCAATAACTATTTATATATGAAATAATGTGTGCCGATATAACTTACAAAACATATACACTTCCAAGTTAAAAACAAGCCACATAAAAAAGTCAGTCCGGATGAAAAGAAAATTAGGCCATCTTTTGTGCAAAGTATCCCATCTGGTGTGCCAAAGGAAAATGAAGGCTATTTTCCTTTCAGCTGGAGGTCAGTAAAATCTTCTGAAGCTCATGATTGGACTGATATGTCCGCATTTGTCTGCTCGGTGATTTTAGGAGGAGATGTTTTTGTTTCCTTATCCACTTTTGGACGTTCTTTGGTTTTGTTTTTATGAGTGACAGAGCTACCATGTTTGGGGTTACTGCCAACACTGAGACGTCCTGGAGTACTAAATTCTGGAGGCATGTTGACAGCATCACCACAGCTTCTTCTCCGGGACAGTTTTGGCGACTTGGGGCGAGTCAGTGGCAGCTTCTATCAAAAGGAAAAGGGATGAAGAGTTTCACTAATTGATGGCTATTAGCAGATTTGGAAAATGGAAAGAGCCATAAATGAAATGATCATGACATAGGTGTATCCTAAATTTGTACTCCTGATTTTGTCATGCACTTTGAGACTATTCCTGCAAATTCCTAAATTCTTGATGGCAATTCGCATTCATCCCGAGAGTTGGAAAAGAAAAGAGTACCTTCTTCAGTTCTGTCTTGGGGGGTGGCCCCTCATAGTAGAAGCTTGGTACTGGTTTTGCTTTAATGACCAGGTTCTTTCTCAACTGTTTAATGGCTGCATCTTCCTCTTCCTATACAGGTCATATATTTATATAAATAGCGGAAGTCATTTAATCAATTCAATACGCAAAAGCAAATCTAGAAGGATAAACAGAGAACAAGTCACCCATGTACATGGGCAATTGGCATGAAACTAGGCTAGGCTTTGGCTAAAGTGATTAAACGTTTCTAGCACGAGGGGAAACTAAAAACAAAAGCAAAAAGCACTATAAAAAGCCACACATGGGTCTGTGGTAGGCAGGGTAAAGAACTAGAGACTAGTATATACCTTTTTCCTTGCCTCATACTGGCTTTTTTCTTCTTCAAGAGCTCGATGTTTCTCCTCTAACTTCATGTAAAACTGGAGAGATAAATCAAAGTAGCAATAAAAACCAAGACCACAAAATAGATTCAACTGATAATACGAAAGTCACCAACTAGGAAATTCAACCAATATACATCGGAATTAAATGTTCGGCACAATACCTCCTTCCGCTTCTCGGCACGATCTGAGCATCTGAAATTAGGAGCTGAACCTACAGTTACCTTAGATTTGGCAGTGCGTGCAGATGTAACGCTACTTGTTATGGTTAAAGAACAAAAGAAAATAAGTGTCATATTATGTTTAAATATAGATAAAGTGTAGCTCTGTTTGGAGGATTCCAAATTGTTTTCATTAAAATTCATAGAGGAAGTTTTGATATTTAGTATTCAGTATGGAAGATTCTAATTTTTATTTTTTTCAAATATACCTAAACCTTGATTTGTTCAGAATAAACAATCGAAATGTTCAAGATTTGAGGATACGAGGAAGCAACAGACCAATTATCTTCATCATCATGATGCTTCTTATCATCATGATGGAACGACTTCCTTGGTGAAAAAGGTGAGTTCGGCTGAAAAAGATGGAACAGATTTTGCATGTCAGTAATCTCATTAAACACACTCAATCTCACCCAAATAGCAATAGATGGAATTGCAAATCATCCCTACAAGACATATAAGCAGGTTAAAGTAAATCCTTCACATAGAATTTCTAGCAAAATTTTCAAACAGAATATTTTTTTTTATACCAATTTTGCAAAGTCTTAGGTTGAAGAACTTCTTTTAAGACATTCAATCTGAATTAAAGTTGCTTGTATTTATTAGTTATGGACCTATGGTATTACGAGTTTCCCAAGAAATTTTTTTGGTACAGCTTGCATTTGAAATTGACCCAGTGCAACCTGTCAAACACTCAAAATGTAGTTTTTCGATTGAATCTTTGGCAGTTAGCAGGTATGTGTCAATCTAATTATTTAAACCATTGCTGATGAACTATCAAAATTGTGTTTTATAAGGAGACCCACAACATAATTACCTTTTTTAAATGGTGGCAGCAGGGAAAACAAATCTTTGATCACAAACATATATCATGCAAATAAACGTGCATTAAAAACAAAAAGTAGATCCCAGTTCTACTACTCTCTAAAACCTACACTACCATTTCACATACTTAATTAGGTACTCACATAAGAATTTAAGCTGATCAAACTTAAAATTTCAAAATATGATGTCACAAATCACAATACCTGTGAATTCTTAGAGGAATTAGGTGAGTGTATATTGTTAGCTTTAGGAGACGAGTTCAGACTAGTTGTGACAGGTTCAGTATCAACAGCCTCTGCATAGGTGACGTGCTTTTCAGTAACCTGATCAGATGGCTGGGGAGCAGAGGGGCTTGGAAGCTCTTTATCCACAGCATCCATACTTATTTCTTTGTTGTCATCCAGCTTCTGCACTTCAGATTTCTCATTCTTCTCTTCTGGCAAGCTAACATTTAATTTATTGATTTTGGCACTCAAAACATCTTTCCTCTCGTGATGTTTCTCATAAGAATTAGCTTCAGCAGATTCCTTTATCTCATGATCCATTGCTTGAACCATTGCAGCAATTTTTGGAGAAACATGTATTCTATTACTTAAATTACCATTTGAAGCCCCTATGGCACCGTTTGGCTTCTTTTCCATAACTTGTAGGCCAGTGACTTCCCTTCCCATGGCACTGCACGCCATAAGTTGCAGGGTAAGTAACTTAACATTTTGATTAGGCGGCTAACATTGATAAAGAAAATATATGCCTTTGACAAGCAAAGAAGAATTCTAAATATGTGTATTACAACAAGAATATATTAAGATTGATAAATAAACATTCTACAGCTACATGTGCAGGTCTCTTCTATCGGCATACGATATACATAATTGTGTGCTAAAGCAAACAGATGAAGAAAAAGACATGGGGGCAGGGAAGAGAAGCATCTTTAAATATAATGTTAACTATATATGTAAGATCAAATGGTCCAGATTAGCTATTCCCACCTCTCATATTCTAACTTTATACACCCCTTATACCCGAATCTCTATGAAGTGCCAGAAGCCCAGAACTAGTTCCCTAATATTTCCCACCTCAAACCTAGAAAGACGGGAATGAAAAGAAAGAAAGAAAGAAAGATACAAATATAAAATACAAAACCAGAGATCTAAAAAAGTATTTTAAAAAATTTTAAAAAAGGAAACATGGGTGTTTCAAATAAATAAACAAGGGGAAGAAAAAAAACACATAGGATGGAGGTATAGATATGAAATAAATTCTAATGAAAAAAAATTGAGCAACTGATTTCTGGTAAGAATAATTCAAGATAAAGGATGTACAATCAGATAGATGACAATTTGTTAGAACAGAAGAACAAGGGTGATTTCTTCCAAGTAAGTTTAAACAGATAATAGCAAACCTCGAAAGCATCTTGTGGCCCAAGCTAAGCTAACGACAATAAGGGATTAAGCTCGCGCACAACAGGTACGAGAATTTCTCCTTATTTATCTTACCAAAAGAGATGCAGAAAAATTGCTTTTCTAGCAGAATCTGTTCATATGAGTATATCCTTCATGTAATTCTAGCCATTTTAACAACCACTCTGAAACCTTTTACTTTTTGAAAAAAGAAAAAAAAAACGACGACTTAGACTTTGTTTTGACTTGTAAGTTGTAACCGGAGAAAACCGGTAAGAGAGAGGCATGATTCCGGGAATAAGTGCAGAATCATTGTAACTATGCATGCAAGTTTGAATAAAGCCGAGAAAAATCAAAAGACAATTCCAACGTGGTCCAAAGACGAAAAACACACACAACAATAAGAAAGTCCACAAAGACAACGCTTGGTTGGGTTGGGTTTCGATTAGAACAGAACATAAAAAGCACAACATAGGATTAAGAGAGATCTCCGAAATAGGAAAGACCGAAAAAGCACATTGCAGAAGAAACGCACCACAATCTCGGTGGCGGTTTGCGGTGGCGCTCCGATCTGATAAGATCTCAGCCCTCTGCGTGCGAAATCCAAAATTTAAGTATGAATATTCCTTTTCTTTAGGGAGGTTTTTATGTTTAGTGTTTCTTAGTTGGATTAATGGGTTTGGTTATAAATAGACGCGGGCATTGTGGTTTTTCACCGTTTGAGACGGCGTTAATTAGAATGGTGCCACTCAGATTTGAAGAATTAATGTGACGTTCTAGTCAAATGGAAAACAACCCTCACCCCCATTTTTCAATCCAGTCCATAATAAGTTGGACAAAATAAGAGACAAACACCGGACACGTGTACGCTCCTCTGTGGTCCGAACTTGGAAACTTGTATGACCCTATAAACATTACGTGGCCCATTCTTAAGGGCTAAGGCCTACGCGTCCCTTTCAATTTTCTCTTAATTATTCTTTATTAAACATTTAATTAATTCTTTTTTAAGTAAGATCTCTCATCTCTTATTCCAATTACAACTAAAATTTCAAATTTTACTTTAAAACACATGTATCCGAAATGTCATGATTCAGTGGTTATTTTAAGAAGTATTTTATAAAATAAACATGATAACTTTTTCTGTCTCTTTCTTTTTCTATCATTAGTGTCGCTTCACATGTGATTAATATTGAATATTTTATTATTAATTTAAGTATCTTGTAAGATAAAAAAAATTAGGTTAGTCTTTTATTTTATTTTTTTAACTAGTCCCTTTGATATTTGAAATTGTTTTCATTTGTTCGTGTCGTTACTAAGTTGTAACTGTAGGTTGATAACTTAATGTAGCTTACGGGTCCTTATTCCTTAAGGTATATTAGAGGGACTTTAAAAGAATAAGTATAATACTGATAGGGAAAAAATTCAATATTGTATAAAGAAATGTGTGCATTAAATGTAAAATTAAAACAACAATTAATTAAGTGAATTAACGACAAGTAATGGCAAGAATTAATGTTAAAAATTGAAAATTATAGGGACAATTTAAAAAATAAATTTAAATGGACTATAAAGATGGTGAACATGTTATATGAATTTAAAATATATTTAAATTAAGAAAATAATAATTTAATTACTCCAATAATATATTTTGGAATTGACTTAAAAATGCTTTTAGTTCTTTAAATTTTGGTATATATTTAATTGATCCATCAAATTTAAAATTTATATTTTTAGTCTCTGTAATTTTTAAAAAATAATATTTTAATTCTATTATTTATATTTTTTGTCCCTCAAAATTAGATTTTGTGTTTTTAGTTTTTAAAATATCAAAAATTTATTATTTATTTGTTTTGTTTAAATGTCATTTGTAAATTTGTTAAATAAAATTCACATTTTATTAAATATGTCATACAAAATTTTTGTACTAATTTTCTTATTAGTATCATATTTAATCAACTGATATTACATAATTATTTAAATTTATCAGTACTAATTACGTTATTAATAATAGGTCTAAGGAATAAAATAATATTTTTTGACATTAAATAAATTAAAAAAGTAAATTTAAAATTTGAGGACTAAATATTCAAGAATTTAGATAAAATTGCCATGCTTAATTAAAAATATTGTGTTGATAGTTGATAGCTAGTACTAGCTAGTTTCCCTACTAATGTCTTTGAGATTGAAGCAACGTTTTGATATATGAAGCTTGCCGAATCACATTGACCATTTGGCTACAACCACACTACTTTACGGAATTGACAGTGAACCAATACCAACGAAATTTCCGTTGCTAACGCCGTCCCTTAATGCCACCGTATTTTTACAACATTTCTTCAAATTACGAACCCTTTCTTCATTAAACTATAACATGTGAATACTATATCAACTATAGTACTACGTAAATTCTTCGAAGTAAAGCGATAACTTTGATTGCGCGAGTTTAATTAATGATTAAAAGTTGTCGTCTAAGGGACAAATTTAAGGATCAATCTCCCTCAGCTTGTCTAACATAGTAAAGATCCAGAAGACACCATAGCAACCTTTGCATCAAATAAAGTACACATGGTAAAAAGTTCTATATCACTCACAAGTAATCAGTAACGATGCATTACCTACAATTATTAAAATAGGTCATTTTCTAACATATTGTATAAATTATAACTTACTCTTTTTTCTTTTTTTATCAAAACTTCACAATTCTATATCTAATGGAGCCATAACTTATTTGGACATCTAAAATTAATCAACCAATGTACCATCAACTTAATCCATGCTACGTACCATAATAGGTTTATAGAAGTCGGTAATCATAATAGTCATTTAATAACAGAAAGTCACCTTTGTTGCCACGATTTCAAAAGTTGCTACCATACCAATTACACGCATAGCTCCTTCGCATCAATTGATCTATAGCCTCACTTAATACATGCTACGCAACACCTATAACTTGTAGAGACCGCCACCATTTAGGTTAGGGTTCATGTTTAATTTCCCAAATTATTTATATAAAAATAAAATAAAAAAGTTCTAGAAAATGTTAGGCAACGTGTAGGAAGTGAAAAGGATGCATACTGCATGCAATTTAAAATTTTGAATTTGTTATCGATGAATGACGATGTTGTTGCATGGGTTAAACGTATTATATATTAATTAATGCCACTCATGAATAATATATAATGTGATGGACATGTATGGATTCTATTTCTCTCATTTTCTCTCTCTCCGTCATTCCGAGTGAGGTATACAGGGTAACAACTTAATTGAATGATTTGTGCATTGCTTAATTAAGCATCGTATTCCAGACATAGCCTTGCCACTAAGCTCAAGATTTAACGTCAGTAACATTATAACATATACGTTTAAGTATTATCTATAGAAAAAGACGTGCCTGCGTACATATCAACATTAGAAAGCTTTACTTTAGATTTAAGAAAATGCACATTAACCTAATTAATTACTTGAATATGATTTGTTTGTTTCTCTGTCACTTGATTTGTTTTGCAACAACTTGTACACTTGAATTTCCCACACCATGTAACATTCCACTGATTGATTACTGACAATTAAAATGTGTATAATTTAATTCATAAAGAAAACGTAATTAATTCAAAATTGAAATCTTCATATATCAGCCGTTTTTGCATTAATGCAAAGTAACCATAATTTTTATTTTTTGTCGAATCAAGGGGTAATAAGTATATAAATAAAAGCCTATGATCTAAAAGTGGATAGATTGATTAATTTAAATTGTTGAACGGCGCGTATTTGTGTATCTATTTCATGCGTTTGTTTTTAGTAATAGGAGTTATTTGACAAAGACATATTTTCAACCATTAGGGTTGAAAGAGATGGTAGAGATAGACATTGTAAACTTAACCTATATATAGATAGGTTGGCGAGTTTCTATTTAGATGCTTATTTTAATTTGCGATCAGTTCTTAATTACCATTGCTATTTGCTAGCTAGGTTTGCTATAATTTTGAATAACTAAAGCGCCATTATACCTTTTTGAATTTGAAGCTGCCAAGGAGGGTAAAAGTTTATATCTTTCTGATTATCCATTTCAAATTCATAAAGTTCATCAGTACTCTGCACTTACTCATGGTCGGGGTATTTATTTGGTATTAATGTGAAAGTTCAAGTAGAAGGTGGTAGAGAATTTAATCAATTATGTGCAAGTGCAATACTTCATTTCTGTAATGTTTTGGCCCATAATTTATGGTTTTGAATTATATATATAGTTTTACTAATTTAACACATTAATAATTATTTTTGTTAAAAATTATAATGGGATGAAATAATAATAGTTTTATTTTTTATTCTTTTAACTAAAACTTTTATGGTATTTTTTTCCCTAGAAAGAGGACAGACGTGGGAATGAAGAGAGGATAGAAAAGTATGTTCTTTTATCACCAATAAAGCAAAGTATGAAAGCCTTCTTCTTAAAGGGAAGAAAAATACTATTTAAGATGCAGAAAGACTATATTGTTTTTATTTTCTCATACTTTTTTTTTTTACTGATAATTATGTCATTCAATTTGTGTATCTCTTTTCTTTTGCTTTTCATGCAATAGAAAATATATATTTTTCTTTTCATTCAATTTTTTCTTATTAAATTTTTTATCTATTAAATTATAATAACGTCAACAAGTTTCAATCCTAAAATCTTATATTTAATATCTAACTCTCTACAACCAGATGATTAACTTTAATGATTCTCCTATTAAATACTTTACAAAATTCTCATTTATTTTCCTTTTCTTAATTAACTTCTCTTTTCTTTTCTTTCCTTCTGTTTCTTTTTTCTTCTCTCTCTCATTTTTATTTTCATTCTCATTTTTACACACTTAAAAGGTCTATTTTATTTCAAATTTTTATAACATTTTTTTTACATTTTAAAAAATTTACTTTAAAAGGTCTATTTATAAAAGATATGAGAATATAATTTTTTTAAGGTCTATCTCTAAAATATTTTTAATTTTTTATTAAATATATTATTATTAATTAAAAAAATCACCTTGAAATTTATTTTAAGCCTAGTAATATGTTGGGCCAATCCTGCATAATCATATTGTAAATCATCCCACTAATAAGTTGTCTCAATCTACTAATTTAAATATAGGAATTAAATATATTTTTAATCCTACAAAATTTGATGTCATTTGTTTTTAGTTTCTCAAAAACAAATTTCTTACTTTTAATCCTCTAAATTTGTATAGTATATGATTTAAATCCTTTCTTTGATACCATTGACTTTGTTGTAAGCCAAGTTAGTATCTAAATCTCTATTAGTTTTATATGACATAATTTTTTTATAGACAAAATCAGTTACAAGATGACGTATATTTCCCTTTATCTATTACTATAGATAATCAAACAACTATATATTTAACTATTTTTCTTCCATTCATTTTCTCTGTCTTTATCTCTACTTTCTATATATAGATTCATTGAAATTTTAAAT